GTAATGTGGAGAAGTAGTAAAGGTCTACTGGGCAATCAGTTGGCTACCACCCAACCACATACGGTGATGTGATATGAAGCCACTTTTCTTTATTTCCTCGGAGTTAAGGTTTGCCCTTCAGGAAGCAGCAGGTTACTTAACATGTACTTGATTTCACCATAACATGCATTATGGCATTTTCTTTTCTTTTTTCTTTTTTTTTTTTTGAAATGGAATCTTGCCCTTTTGCCCAGGCTGGAGTACAATGGCACGATCTCAGCTCACTGCAACCTCTGTCTCTCAGGTTCAAGCGATTCTCCTGCCTCAGTCTCCCGAGTAGCTGGGATTACAGGTGCCCGCCACCACACCTGGCTAATGTTTTTTTGTATCTTTAGAAGAGATGGGGTTTCACTATGTTGGCCAGGCCGGTCTCGAACTCCTGACCTCATGATCCGCCCACCTCAACCTCCCAAAATGCTGGGATTACATATGTAAGCCACCGCACCTGGCTGACATTTTGTTTTCTTAAAAGGTCATTATCAGACCCCACAAGACTATTTCTATAAACTGTGACTCAAGTATAGCCTCGTGTTAGTAGCTTAAAATAGATTTTCTTTACCTTTTTTGCCCTTTAAAAGCGAGGAATTTTTTTTAATGGAAAGAACATAGACTTTGATGATCAGTTCACATCCTTGCTTTACCCCTGGAAAAATGTGTAACCTGGAAAGATAGCTTAACATTCCTAAGTCACATTTGTCCAAATAATAAAAACAATGGCAACAAGACTTCAGTACTAATGTCTGATGTTTTTTGTATGATTAATCTGTGCCAGCTTCCATTCCAGTTTCTTTACACACATTATACCATCTCATTCTCACAAGAACTTTGCAGAGCAGGCATTGTCATTTCCACTTTACAGGCAGGAACCCGAAGACCAGAGTTAAAAGTAACTGGTCCAAAATTGCCTAGTTAATAAATGGTGGAACTCGCAGTCAGACCCAAGCTGGTCTGGGGCAATACACTTGACCTTCTTATGATATGTCAGCCTTGTGAAATAGGAAAGATACTATTAATAATATCCGCCTTGTGTGATCATTTTGAAGGTTAGATATAATGTGTGTGGAACTCCTGTCACCAAAGTTGTTCCACAGGAGGCCCTAAACAAATGAGTAATCATTATTACTTTAAAATGTCCATAAGTGAAACTGATATGCCAAGACCAGTAAAAATGAGAGCCTCATAAGGAAAAGAGTAGGAGGCATACCTTTGTTTCATTTTGTTTGTTGGTTTCTGTGCTTGCTTGTTGTTCTTTTCTGTTAGGCACAGGTTTCATTTAGAAAAAATTAAATTGTTTTTTCTTTGATGAGTGCAGAAAGAATAGTTGGAAACATTGAATGGAACAGCTAATGTACCATTGTAATACTTCTCAGATTACAAAAAAAAAATTAAATCTGTAAAATGAAAACTTTTTTTACTTTTGTCAATTCAAAGTTGTGTTATCTAGAGAGTTTTGTTAAACTCAGAGTTTCTATATGTATGATTGTCTGCTAAATTCAGGATTATAAGAGAAGAGATAATGGCGCTAACTTTGCATATTAAATATACTATGTTACCAGTTTTCCATGAAGCTTTTACTCAACAAATAATTTACTAAAAGGGCTGTGACCTATGAGTTTCACCAAGTCTTTCCATTTCCAGTTTCGACAACAAAAGTTTCACACTTCTTTAGTTACTCTTGTGGGAGAAATCAGAATGCCAGTGATCACCTTGATCTAAGCATATTATTGGAGAAAAATTCAAGGATAGGTATTTGTTTCTTGTTAGATTTTCCTCATATTTCATCATTGGGGTCACTCCAATACATGGTACTAGAATTTGGGATTTTTATTTCATGTTAGATTGGACTCATTTTCTGGTGTTAGTCATTAAAAATAATTTCAACTCTTTGAAGAGATCTGGGATGTTTGTTATTATTCTATTGATTAAATGAAGCTATTTTATTTAACAATTGTGTTGTTAAACTTTCTATATACTTAGAATAATAATACCAAAAACTGAATGGATATGAGCTTTTCTTATTGAATGTAATGTCAATATCAAATACCTTATTGAAACCCATACTTTGAAAGCTTGATTGAGAAATTGGCAAAAGAGTTAACTGAAATAAAAATAATGAAGCAGTTTACTGGTCATCCAGGTTATGAAAGATTAAACCATTAGAGATAAACTGAACTGTGAATATTATGATCATGGTGTTTTCGTAAATGCCATCTATGTCTCTGTCACCATTCTAAATAAAACTACCCTGTCAAACGGTGAAAAATAAGAGTAATGTTTCTTTGACCATTTCATTATTGAGTTTTCTTATATTTGAAATGTGGGAGGTTGAACTAAAATTCGTTGGTTCCCTTCTCTAAAAAGGTATAGTTATATGTGATATTTATTTATTTATATAAATAAAAATATAGAGATCTTACCTTGAAAATAACTTTTGAGATAAGAATGATAAAGTATCTAAATGGAAGATGAATAAAATTGTACCTGATTTGTAAATTATTATATAAAGAAAATGTATAAAATATGTAGAAATTGTCTATACAAAAAACTACAAACAGTGGTCCATTGCCTATTAACAAAGAGTTTCATCTTATCTAAAATGTCTTGAATTGGCTACAACAGCAGGAGAATAGAAATTGCATAGTATAATATAACCTAAAAACATTTCCCATAGATACTCTTCTCCATGCAGCCAATATTTATGAACTTGGGGTAAGTGACCTACTCTTAGATATTTGAGCTTGATTATAATTCATAGTCAAGGTAGCCTCCTTGTAAATAACCAAAATTAACCAAAGATTTTTCCTTGTCTTCCAAAAGCAATGCCAAGTAATTCTATCCAAATTGGAAAAAAAAAAAAAATTAGGTGTCATCAAATGGTGTTGACATAATGATATATATGTTTAAGGATAATGTAATAGAATATGCAATTAAAAGTACAGTATATAGAAAAAATAGATTTTGTTTTAAAACATAAGGCGATTTAATAATGTGGGTCACAGATTCTTTTTAGTTTTATAATAAATGTATTGATTTCTGAAATTTGGGAATATTCCATAGTACACTTAGCTTATGCTTATGTTAATACTGAGGACAGATTGCTGTCAGCCTAATAGCATGTAGATATATTATAGTCACACTACAATCATTCTGTCAGTTTTCAATTTCCCCTTTTCCCGTGATGTTTCTTTCATCTTGTTAGTTTTCTCTCAAGACCTTCTCTAAATACCTTTAGTAGTAATTCACAAACTGTTTGTTAGTTAATAGTTCTCAAGAAAATTCTGAGATTTGGTTGACAGAACTTAGATTGTTGATTTGTTTTTGGATTCCTAGCCAAAGTTTTATTCTTTGTTTCTTAAAAATACTCAAAAAAGTTTTTTTCCTTACTGTAAGCCCTCTGGAAATAGAAGCAAATCACCATTTATACATTTAAAATGTGATGAAAATCACAAAATAAAGTCCAATGAAATATAGGGCTTATATCCATTAGTGCCTTAAGAAAAATCCCTGTTTTCTAAAGTGTGAGTGGGCTTTTCTGGTTTGTTTTTGTTTTTTTAAAGCTCCTGGACCTCCCAATTTTCAAGGGCACTTTGGGGCATGTGTAGCGTTTATTTGATGTATGGATGTAGATGCATATTTTCCCACATCTGTCTCTGTGGACCTATGCTTTGTGAAATCCTAAACCTTGTATTAATGCTTAGTTTATGATTCATGGTGTTCTGAGAGCAATTATATAATTTTTCTTGGGGTGTTTATTCTGTGTGCACTGTAAAAAAAATCAGAGTTATTTTTTGGTAACCCTGCACTTGCCTTTTTATTGATGAATTTCTTTTCCTTTTACTGTGACCTGTGAATATCACTGTAGGCTTACTGCCAATTTTGTGAGCTGCTGCCTGCTTCAAAATGGAGGCAGGAAGGTATCCATTTTCATCAAGAGGATGACAGTGTTTCAGTCTTTCTGACCATCTGGAGAGAGGAACTTTGAGAGCAAAAGAAAATGGGGATTAAAAAAAATTATATTTAGCAGAAAAGGCAAGGGGGAAAACCAATTGAAGTTAAACTATACCTTATGAATTTGTGCTTTTCTAATATGCTGTCCTGTTTAAAGAAAACATAAACAAGAAAATACACAGGCTATTTTTATAAAGAATTGATTTCCCAAGTCTCATGAGTATTAGTAAATGAATGTAAGTAAATTAGGTTTTTGGCACACTTTTTAAGTTTATTGTACACACAAATATAATAAGCACGAAAAAGGAGGGCTCCCTCCTCCCGCTTCCTTTGCATACGCTGATTGTTGGTGGTCTTATGTAGATCCAGGCTTTTAATGGCCTTTTTCATGCATCTCTGCAAAAAGCTGACACGGTGGGAATTTAATATTCTAAGATATATTTATCATTTTCTGTGGTTTGGATAGTTCATTTGTGTTCTCTGTCTCTCCCTCTGTCTCTCTCTCTCTCTCTCTCTCTCTCTCTCTGTCTGCTCCCCCCTCCCCTCCCTACCTCCTCTCTGTAAAAGTGAAATTTTTAATTGAAAGGTAGAGTTTTTACTCTACCATTTGAAGAGGTTTGATGCAGGTCTTTCTGTTTTTACCTTTTTTACATGCTTATGGACCATCTGTGTTTAGAAGAAAAAGAAAGAAGTGCTTAGACTCACAGGATTACCCTATGGGCATTATATAGCGTATTTACAGCTAGACGTGGTTTACATCGACTGGAATATAACACACCTGGTTATTTTCTATTCACACAAATACACTGAGCTTTTATTTTGTTTTGTTTTGTTTTGTTTTGTTTTGTTTTATTTTAGTGTGTTCAGAAAGGGCACTGTTTCTAGGGTTTGTTCAGATTTAAACTGGAAAGAGTAGAAATGTAGCACTTTCTGCCTACTTCTTATAAAAGAATGGAGCTTCAGATGCTTTGGTCAATGCAAAAAGCAAAACTCAGTTGGTTCTTTCTCCTCAGGTCTATGCTCCATCAGCAAGCACTGCCGACTACAATAGGGACTCACCAGGCTATCCTTCCTCCAAACCAGCAACCAGCACTTTCCCTAGCTCCTTCTTCATGCAAGGTAAGATGCTGCTGCTTCTGAGGGAAAGGCCACAGGGTAGCATTTTCCTGGGTCACTTAATGTCACAGATAGGGCAAAAGAAGTGGAATAGTAGACACGTGTAGAATTTTTGAAGTCATACTCTTCTTATGAATTGAATTCCTTAAAAATTGATTATTAATTAAAACTGTACTAGGCCTTTCTTTACAATTAAACCCCTTTGAGCAGTAATGGGTTAAGATTAGATTGATCTGCTTCACTTAGAGCCAATGCTCCTGCTGGTCTTCCACGCATGACCAACCATTTCAGCATATTCACCATCCCCAAGACGATGTAGCTGTTAGTTTAGAAGTGGTTCATCTTCATGTATGTTTAGAACATCCTGGATTTAGCCAGCTGGGAACAAGTTGGCCTAATGTATGACCTTATGTAAAATTTTCATCCACTTACTAATTCGTAGGAAAGAACAAGACTCCAAGATGAAGTAACCTACCACAGACTGGAATATTACATGGTGAACGTTCTGTCCCAACATAGTAACTGGTTTAGGATAAAAGACCCAACTTTTGGGGGAGAAGACATATAGAAAATACGGAATTATCCAGTATGTTTAAATACATGGATGTGTGTCCCTACACTGAGCTTTTAGTCTTGCCACGGATAGTGTATACCTTTCTGCTGCTCAAAAAAAACCAAGATGTGACCGAGTGCAGTGGCTCATGCCTGTAATCCCAATACTTTGGGAGGCCAAGGTGGGTAGATCACAAGGTCGGGAGATTGAGACCATCCTAGCCAATATGGTGAAACCCTGTCTCTACTAAAAATACAAAAAATTATCTGGGTGTGGTGGTGTGTGCCTGTAGTCCCAGCTACTCAGGAGGCTGAGGCAGGAGAATGGCGTGAACCTGGGAGGCAGAGCTTGCAGTGAGCCGAGATTGCGCCACTGCACTCCAGCCTGGGCAACAGAGCGAGACTCTGTCTCAAAAAATAAATAAATAAATAAATAAATATTTAAAAAGACCAAGATGTTTGAAATGACAGCAGCTACTTCAAGAATGAACCACTTGGAGTATGCTCCTAAGGACTCCATCCTGATATGTGTGTGGCACTTATTTCTAATGTAATTATCTTGTTACCAAGTTAATGCCCTGAATTTAGATGAGGAATTTACCAAGAACCCCTGTGTGCAAAAATTTAATTCTTTTTGCCCAGGTATGAAAACCTTATTTGTATAAGCCTTGTCTACGGGCCATGGGTTTTCTTTCTTTATGCACCTCTAGGAAGGGCCATGTCACAGGAAGGGGAGCACATTTGGGGCAGAGAGTACCAGGGAAGCAGCCTGATTATAGTGGACACACTCAAAGTCGTTCTCATTAAAAGATATTAATCTTCCTTCCCTTCAGTGTGTTAGCTCTTTTAGTTTGTTAGTTCACATGTGAAATTCCATGGAAATTTATAAAATTGGGTGGAATGGCTCCCTTGGGAATAGAGAGAAGTTGTTCCACACATAATAGAGCTCATATGTCAGAAGTCCTTTATCTTTGTGACCCATCCTAGGTGTAACTCTCAAAGGGACACAGCAGGCTATGTCACCTGGGTGCGTTTTGTGCCATGACAAAAAGCTTATCACCTTCAGCTGTAAACAGTAGCTACCTCAGCATCAGTCCCCTCTTTGGTGAGCAGTGGGAGATATTGTCCTACAGGTGTTTACAGAGATTGGCAACTCAAGGATCCATTACACAAAACAGATTTTGATTGAAAAAATTGGTGGAAGGATACATTTCTTCTATCTGCCCAGGAAAGTGGCTTTCTCAAAGGGTGCACATTGCTGGGTAGGCCAGGTAGATTAAATCAGTAGGCTCCTTTCCCTAGCAGACCACCCAAAATATGGGGAACAAATTTGTTTCTCTGCATATGCACACCCAAAAAGCAAAAAAAAAAACCAAAAAAAATTGAGTTGACATTTATGATGAGCACAATTAATTTGCACACGTCTAATTCTATTCTTTCAAAACAACATTATGCCAAGATCATGGGATGTGATAAATATTAATTTACTGTGAAAAGCATAATTTATGTAGAATATGTATTTTTATAAGTCTGCATCAAGCAGAGTATTCTATGTTAACAGTCCTAAATGCATTGCCACCCAGTGTATCACATTGTCAGGAGACTTTTGTTCAGTGGTATATGTTTTCAATTTATTTGTCATGTGTGCCATCTATTTAAAATGTTAGTGGTCTTGAACTTCATATTTGAATTTAAGGTGATATTTAAACCTTCGTAATCTAAGGACAAAAGCTCAAGTACATGAATGATAACTTTTTAAAAATCCTGTGTTTTCACATCGTGGCCACAGAAGCAGTTGCATCACGGTTCTGTCCCATATCAACTTCCCTTCAGTAGAGGGTTACTTGGTGCCCTGAGAATTCAATACTTGAAGGAATATGCAATTAAGGTGAAAGACATTCAGAAACTGTCTGGGGCATATTGTAAACTCACTACTGTGGCCTCTTATTTTTAACTTCTATTTCCATCTTCTAGTTAAAACTCTGAAGTTGTCAAAATCACAGACATGATTTTGCTTGCATGGTTCTTAAAGAGAGGAATCTACAAACTGTTCCCCCCAATCTGAAATGAGCCCAGTTCCAAAATTCTAACTTCCGGATTTAAGAAAGAGCTTCATGAAATACAGTGTCAGATTTAACTTTTCTATTTCCTAACTTTTTAATAGGCCTTTATTAAATAAAATGTTATGGTAAAAATAATCTTATTTTCAAGGAAGCAATATCTGCTATACATTTAACAGCCAGCTGATGGCCTGGTATATACCTAGTACTCAATACTTTTTGTTAAAGTATTGAAAAAAAGAAAAAAATGAATGAATTTAGCAGTAATGTAGATCTTCTTTTCCCTTAAGCTTGGGAAACCAAACCTAAACAATAGCAATTATTAATAATAACCTGTAGGCCAACAGGCCCAGAGAATGAAAAAATCTGTAGGGATGTTTTTAATAATGGTGTTAACAAAAGGTTAACCTCATATTGAAAGATACTTTATATAATTTTAAACCTCTATAATTCATAAATCATTTTATAAAATCCAGAGACTCTCAAAATTATCTGTAATATAATAGCCACCTAGTGCATGTGTGCACCCTTTGGATTGCTACTGAAGGTTTAAGATAGCTGTATAGCTATACACCAAAAAATACAAATAAAATATCCTAGGAACTATATATTTGAGATTCATCTTCTCTGATGCCATAATATAATTAAAATTCCAACTTTAATTCTATTGCGTATGTTAAAAATGAAATTAAACATTTTCAACCTAAGATTTTTTAAAATTAATACTTCTTTATATGCTTTTAAAACTTGTCAACTTTGTAATTTCTCAAATACTTTTCACCCCAAAGTTTAGGAACAATTTAACTTTTTAGTTGGTTTTCATAGAAAAAAGGGTTAGAAGACTTCTAAGAAATGTTTCCTTTAGCAGTAATTACCTTGCTGACTTGACATAATTCGTGGTAGAAGTATGCTCTGTTGTTCTTTTACAGTTGAATTTTTACCAAGAACACTTTGTTTATATTTGTTTGACAATATAGAGCCACTTGGGAAGAAATGATGACTGTCTTCTGATGTAATCAGCTAACAAACACAAAGATGAATAACACAACAGGCAGTCATTTTCAAGTATATGAAAAAACCCTATTCTATAAGGCAAGGCTGAATGCCTCAGAAAGTCATGGTTCTCTTTGTCCTTTACAGATGGCCATCACAGCAGTGACCCTTGGAGCTCCTCCAGTGGGATGAATCAGCCTGGCTATGCAGGAATGTTGGGCAACTCTTCTCATATTCCACAGTCCAGCAGCTACTGTAGCCTGCATCCACATGAACGTTTGGTAAGGCAGATGTACACGATAATGGGAATATCACAGCTAGTTTATTATACTTCATCCTCTGTCTTTCCATGCATGTACACAAGGACTCTGCAAATAAGTGCAAAAATTGCACACACCCATTGTTCTTAAGTTGTGTTCTTTCTGTGATCAAAGACATAACAGGATCAGATCACCTTTGTAAATCCTTCCAGATTCCCTCTGGCATTGTTCTTTTGTTTATTGTGTTTTGCTCTGTGCCTTCTTTATCACAATGTCAGCTTCCTTGAGTACATAAATAGATACTTATTTAAGCATGATGGTTCCTGGTCATTTTTTGCTATCTGTGGTTTCAAAGGATGTACTGTAGAGGGCAGAGTGATGGTCAGTAGGTTATATGCATCACCCAGGAGCATTTAATTTCCCCTTGACTGGCTTATGTCAGCTTTGGCCTGTTGTGATGTATCCAGAAAAAGAAGTTTATATTTTCTGTAGACTTCCATCAGTAAGAGAAAGCATGAGGTTTCTACATAGATCAGATTCCCATTTTTCAGTATTTTAATTCCCATCCTAGCCTGCCACTCATACTGTGTTTTGCCTCACTCCAGGTGAAAACTGCTGGGCTCTAGAATGTTAAGTCTTTCATTACAAAACGTTTGCACTCTGTCCGTCACCTACATTCATCTATCATAGTATGTCTCTTTATCCTGAAGGAAACACCTCAACTGACTTTCTTCTAGCCTTAAATGTCACCACAGCCCAGAATCCACTGTTGAACTTAAGTCTGTCATTAAAGGGAGGAAAGAGCCTAGATCTTGAGTGAGATTTGGGATGCAGATAAGATGAAATTTGAATCCCTTGTGCAAGAACATAGCTTAATATGTGAACCTCAAATCCTACAAATGTGAAAGCATATGGGAAATCCAGTGATCCTAGGTGATACTTACACCACTACTCTTCATCTTGCATTTGTCCCTTTTTCTTCTCATATCCACACGTAGGTTTCTTTTTCTGTTCTGATAAAGGAAGTCATTCTGGATTCATGTGGTCTTTGCTCTCTTTTGCTTAACCAGTACATATACAGGATCTGATATCCTACTCCAATAATCAAAAAAATTCCAGAAGTTAAGATTTCTGATATCCTTGAAAATCCATATTTAGTTGTTCCTAGTGGTGGAGATGCCTTAGTAGTCAATTAGCCTGTACATTCCTGAGAGGCTAACAATGGAAATGGAATGGGCCTTTTTGTATCATCTCCCAAGACTGAATGTGTAAATCACAAACTATCTCACATTTCAGCACATTTCCAGTAAATAGCAGATGACTTGTTTTCAAATTTTCTCTTCACCCACCTTCTATTTGGAGATATTAGAGTGAACGCTTAGAGAAATGTCAACTATATCAACTATTATTTTGCTAGAATTCGTTTTGGCTAAAATTTTCATTTCTCCACCATCATTTTCCAATTCTCTGGGAACTCATCATCAGTCAAAACTATGTGTCCTATGAGCAAGGAAAGTTTTGATTACAAATAAAAGTTTTAGGCACTATACCAGCATGTTGGAATTTCAGTTCTTTTAAGAGTTGCCCATTTGACGTTAATTTTTCTTCCCTTCTGTGTTTCTTTCTTTTCCTGTCATTCTTGAGAGTTTTGAGTTAGGCGATTTGATTTTATCCTAGTCCGGTTCACTGCTTGGGAAGCAGCTTTAAAATGTGCTTCCATGCACAAAGAGTGTAATTTCAAAATGGAAACCAACTATATTCCTTTTAGAAAAAGTCTTACAGAACCAAAACAGTATTATCAACCAGAGAGAAAAGAGCATTTTGAAGTAGTAACCCAATAGGCTATATCAGAAGCTATATTTGCAATGCCATTTACCTATCACAAAACACAGGATTTTCATTTTTCATCTGATCAGTTAACAGATTTCAGAGAGTAGAATTTTTGTTTTAAAGGGGACATGAATAAGCTATCTTGTAACGTATACTAATGAATTTTCCCACTGTTAGTGAAACTATTGAATTATTGTATCTAGTTATCATTGTACTTGCAGTATTTAACCATCTGAAAATCTTTTACTGAAGTGACTTAGAAGAATCTGACACTGAGAATACTTTGAATATACAGTAGCAGTTGGTGTCGTTTCAGTTGAAAATAATGGTAGTTCCTTATAATTTTATTCTTAGCATCTGGCTAGCCCCATACTAAACAAAGGGATAGTTTAAGAAAAAGCTAAGTGCTGTTCCTGGATTATTTGGGGGATAATTTGGCCAAGTTGATATTATCTCTAAAGATAAAACATTTTAAAAACATCATTGCCTTCATCACTTTATGCCATGTTATAACAGAATGTGTAATTATAAAACTTCAGATCCACATACTTTCAGTAGCAACTGTCAAGTTACCGACGTTTAGTCTTTAAATCCCCTTTACAGTTTTAGCCTGTCCTACAGAATCCCACAGCTAATCATTACTGTGTTACAGATACCCACACAAAATCACTCAGATGAATGGAGTTTGCGATTAAGCTTTGGAATGGGTTGTTGTAGATGATTTTATGTTTGGAATGACTTGGCAGGGTTCTTTTTAAGAACAGGATAGAGTCCTCACTGTCTGGCATGATTTAGGCATGGTCTTTGCACTACAGGGCGAAACAGTCCTAGGAATCTGGAATTTTCCTTTAAAGGAAGTTCTGTTGTCTTTTATTTTTTTGTAACATAAACCCTTACTTCAGTAATTCTCAACTGATGGCAGTTTTTCCCTTTGGGGAATGCTTGGCAATATCTGGGGACATTTTCATTGTTACAACTAGGGACTAGATGCTACTGGAATCCAGTGCATAGAGGCTAGGGGTGCTGGTAAACATGACGTCATATACGGGAGAGCTTCCACAGCAAAAAATCAGTAGTGCCAAGGTTCAGTAGTGCCAAGGTTGCGAAATCCTGCCCAAACCCAAAGCATGATTTTATTCTTATTTATGTGCACCAGTTATTATATTTTTCCAATCTTTGAATTATCAACCAGTATATCACTAATGGAAACATTTCCAACAGTTACTTTGTTAATAGACACAAAATACACTACTCTTGGGCATCACAAGTTAAAATGAATGAATAGTGGGCATGTAAAGCCTCACACTTTGTCACACTCCTCACGTCCTTTGTAGCAAGCAGGAAAGACAGTAATAGCTGGATTGAGAGACTAAGAGGACCTCTTATAGTTGATCCCTAAATCCTCTAAAAGAGACATTATTCTCTGGTGTATTTATTACATCTCTGAATGACAGTAGTTTTCAAGATAGTTTTTAATGTAAAATAATCTAGTTATAAATCTCATTAGTTTATTTCAGCATCTAATTTTCTGTGAATCTCTAAAAATAACTGATTTACATGGATTTCATTGGTTTCCATCTTTATGGGGATTAATTTTTCCTTTTATTCTGTGAACTCAGCATTAACCCTTCATCAAATCCCAAATTACTGCCCGTTTTACATAAAGTTAAAAGGGCCCAAAGATTCTCACCAATGTGACTATCTGTTTTGTTTTGTTTCATCTTCTGATTATTATAGTTAGTTAAATATTTATTATTCTTTTCCTCTTTTTTTGATTTTTGTACATTTCAGACTGATTTGTAGTTCGTCTGTTCTTCAGAAATTCCACATGGAATAGGACTGTGTAGAAGTGAAGTTAAACTTAGTCATCTCTTTGTTGTTGTTGTTGTTGTTGTTGTTTGAGATGGAGTCTTGCTCTGTCGCCCAGGCTGGAGTGCAGTGGCACAATCTCGGCTCACTGCAAACTCCGCCTTCCAGGTTCACGCCATTCTCCTGCCTCAGCCTCCCAAGTAGTTAGGACTACAGGCGCCCGCCACCGAGCCCAGCTAATTTTTTGTATTTTTGGTAGAGACAGGGTTTCACCGTGGTCTTGATCTCCTGACCTCATGATCCACCTGCCTCGGCCTCCCAAATTGCTGAGATTACAGGCATGAGCCACCGCGCCCGACCCGTCATCTGTTTTTTTGTTCTTTTTTCCACATTCTGTTTCTTTTCCTCCATTTTCTTATAGTGTTTACCTCTATAGCAGAAATAGCTCTATCCCTGCTAAGCTTTCAGATTAGCTGTACTATGGAATGAGCCCACTATTATTTTTCATTGGAGAAAATTCCATGGACTACCTGGGGCATTCATTAAGTGGCAAGCAGAAGTGAGTTTAACAGGTAGCCTGAGGAATTTTGGGGTCAAGGAAAGAAAGAGGTCCATGGAATTTAAAAATTTGGAAGGCATTCTTAGGAACTTGGAAAGATGTAAAGGCATCATCTTAACTTTTTTACTGACGTCCTTTAAGTTGGGCTGTTTTGGTTTTCCAGAGGTAATATTTTCAAAAACATTCATGTATCATTGAAAATCCTACCTCTAATACATAGATTAATTTCCTTAGACTAGTTGGCTCTCAAATAAGTTATACTTCAATCCACTGTTTATTAAATTCTAACTGTTAACCAATTGTTCATTGAGCATATGGTATAATTATGTGTTCAGTAGTTAGCCGCAGGTTGTGGGATGCAGAACTATAAGCTCTATTCCTTTAAATAGTTTACAATATAGGTGAAAATACATTAGAAAGAGCAAGAAATGAAAGGCAAAATATAATTAAGTGTTAAAGAGCATAGTGCAGAATGTAAGTGCATTAGGGACCCAGAGAGAAGAGATGGTGGAAGAGTTGGAGGTAGTTAGGGACTCTTCAAGAAAGAGGTAGAATTCAAGATGGATCTCACAGAGTAAATAGGGCAACACTCAAGAGACTATCGTTTCATTCCTCCTGAGCAAATGCTTGGGTTTTAAATACCCATGACTATCAGCATCATATTCAATCTCTAATTCTGAAATAAACAATTTTAAGAGCATTTCCAATAATGATACAATAAAGCCTCATAGTCCATTAATATATTGCATATGAAGAAAAAGTATATTTTAGCTTTAATACTTTACATAACACATTCAGATGCCTATGAGAATAACTTTTGAAGCTGCTTTTTATCAAAATAGCTCAGCACGTTTTTGTAAATTACTATGTCCATTTTAGTGATCTGTTCATTCCCAAGCAGATGGGTAGATTGCAACTAATTTGCCACCTTACAGGCACTGTGGCATACCCAAGAAAGGCAGCTTATTTGGAAAACTAATGTAATAATTAAACTCAAAGCAGAGTCTTAAACCAAATGATTCTGTAAAGATGTTGTTCTTTCATTGCCGGCTATATGAGGATTGCTTGTATAGGTGGGGCATGTAAAGAAAGGACTCAAACCAAAATAAGTCATGTGGTCCTAATTTAATTCAGTATAGTCAATGGTTACATATTGATGAGTAAGAGAGATATTTAACCATTAGTGCTTTTTAAATTTTTTATTTACTAAATTTTATTGTTGCTGGGGTTCAAAAATAATAATTTAATTTGGGAAGAAGAAGATTGGAAACTGGTTAGTCTTTGCCATTTAGTTTCAAGAAAGTCAGGATGAAATGTAATATAAGCCCTGTGGATCATAATGTTGTTTTATTCATTATATAGTGGAATCTTTTCCACTTGATCAGCAGGCCACACAAAAAAATTAATAGTAGAGTGGTCTTTTATGCCGCTGAAACCCTGGAGATGATTTTAAACAGTAATCTGCAGATTTCAAGATTGTGATCATTTCTCAATGCCCCTCATTGCCATTATATTCCTCCACAGTTGATGCAAACCCAAGCTAACTGTGTTTCTGTATAACTTATTATTTGAAAAATGAAAGCTGTCAGATCTAAGCAAGATATATTCTTGGCTATTTTGAAATTCTAATAGCTGTCTCCATTGTAAAATAGAGAGTTGTGAGAAAAGTATTTGAAAATAACTCACTGAATACCTTATGATTAAATATGGCCACCTTTTTCTGCTTCTTGCTATAGAGCTATCCATCACACTCCTCAGCAGACATCAATTCCAGTCTTCCTCCGATGTCCACTTTCCATCGTAGTGGCACAAACCATTACAGCACCTCTTCCTGTACGCCTCCTGCCAACGGGACAGACAGTATAATGGGTGAGTCACAGAAATGCCAATTCTGATACCGACAATCGGTGTCAGGGTTTAATCATCAAGGACCTCTTTTTCCCTTTCATAACTGAATAGCAATTAGTCAATAAATATTAGTCACATAACAGAATGAACACACAAATGAACCAATCAGAAGTAAAATCACTGGCTTGAGCATAACCGTATTTTTGGTCACAAGACACTGAAATTTAACTACGTTCTCCATCGCGAGTCATTAGATTGAACAAGGGTTCAAACAGACCAAAACTATCTTGTTCTTCACATTCAAAAAGAGTGAACAAAGTCATAAGACGAGCCTAGTGAGACTAGGAGCTACAAAGCAGAATAACTCTTAATGGTAGTTATCAACCACTTCCCAAAAATCCAGTCATTGTGCTAGGCTTTTATCCATGGTGTGCCACTGTCTTCCGAGGACTGGTTAATGTGAAATTCTCAGGTGACTGATAATAACTCCATGAGGTTAATCTTCTGGAGAACGTGACACTGTGGAGTCCCTCAGAGGGGAAGAAGTATTTGTTCACTTATGAGAGAGGAGATGCCTGGGCATCAGGTGGCCAGAAATTATTTGTTGCTGCTTTTAATTAATTAATTTATTTATTTTTACCAAGGACATTTACCAATAAGTTAAGATTCAAAAAGAGTGCTGCCCCCATGAACTGAGCCATCATACTCTCATTTATCATGATGTTCACTGTGGTCTTTTCCGTAGGACAGGTGGTTCCCCGATCAGCATTCCCACTTCGAGGAATGAACTGAACTGGATGTCCAGCTGCCCCTGGAGGGTAGAGGTGGAGTTGGTGGGGAGATAGCTACCTGCTTCTGAACCAGCTTTGACACCTTGTTGTTCAGATGAGCAGCAAGCTTAGTGCACCAGGGTCTTATTAAAACCTCAGACTTCTCAGGTGATCACTTTCTGTGGTTCTAGCTCAAACTAACTCCTTTCTTGGCCTGAATGTCACTCTTAGAGCGTCAGTGGGGAGAATACTCAGTGTATGTCTTTGAGAGAAGATTGCGCAACAGAATAATGGTGCTGTTGAGTCCTCTTAGCTCTTTGTACTTGTTTTCTTTAGAGAGTGCGTAGAATTTGGGGAAGTGGCGTGAATCACTTATGTAGGAACGTTTTTCATGAAGGAGGAGAGATGTGTTTTGAAACATTGGAAATATAATTTCTGCCTCAATAATGCCCTCTCTGCTTATTCAATAATATATTTCACACTTGAGACAAGCCATCTCGAAGCCTCTCCACTCCACTATCGTGTCTAAGAAGCAAATTGAGGAGAGAGTTTCCATTTTTTTAACTTTTCCTAACCAAGCTTCTACAAATATGTTGCATCAGTTTGACCTTGGAGAGCTACAGACAGAGGTCACATGGGGAAGTTTGTTAGCTATCAATGCAGTTTTGGCAGATTTGAAAAACAAGAAGAAAGAAAGCAGTGCAGAACTGAAAGAGTGAGAAAAGCATATTTCACTTCAATGTGGTTTGACAAATGGAAAGCCCCTTTCTGCAGTCATGAGGTCTGGTTATGAAGAAGGATGACCGGTCATTCATCCTTTTACATGACAGATTTCCTGTCTACTTGTGGTTTGAGTAATTTTCTTTTTTAGGAAGGTATGAAGGTGGAGCAGAACCTTGAGTTGAGGAAAACATATTTAGGCGCTGTTTGAAAAAAAAGTTTTTCTGATTGATTTGCAAAACAGTCCTCTTGAGAGAGAGGCACTATGACTTGGAAAGGACATATCAGGAAATGGGGTGGTTATCTCCATGAGCTGTAGACAGCTTAGCCACAACTCTCAGTGGGAATGAGTTTTGCCTGGTTTTAGCTGGTCATTGTCATTAGTTTGTGGATGAACAGGAGAATCCACTTGTTGGTCTAGCCAGAGTGGAGCAATAGGTGACTTCTGTATGCTGAGAATAGACTTAACTTGTTAAAAACCATAAGGCCTTATTTTAGGGTCTTGACAATAATAAAAGTGCTATAATTTAAAAACAAAAGTATGAGATTTTTAGAACTCAGGAAAGGGCTTTCTAGAAATTTATTTCATATAATGGATGCACTCGTCAAAATCCACCAGCAGAATGATAAAAAGATGCATAATCTTTCAGGAAATAGGTAGACATGGTAATTCAGCATTTTGTAGGCACAAACCTTTATTATTATGCATAAATACAGATATTACTTTAAGGTTACTTTAAGGGAGAACATTCGAGAATGCTTTTCTTTAAAATAATATTTTCACCAATTGCGTACGTGAAAATGCAGAGGAAAATTTAAGCATAATAAGCCTTAGTATTGCGTGATGTCTGAGTGGCCCATGTTTTTTCACATTTAAGTTCTCTTAGGCTTTGATTTGATTTTTCGAGTGTGGTAGAAGTCAGTGATGGCAGTGTGTCTGTATAACAAGAAGAGAAGCTTTCTCTTCTGATGTTAGTGATACTTCCCTAACAAACAGTATGGATTAATAGGATACATCTGCAGACTTTTGAAAATATTTGGCATATACTCACTCATTCTGAAACACAGGAAGTAAAGAAATATTACGTTGCCTGTATCTCAAAGAACAAACAGAGCTAATTAAATAATTGGCAAATAGGGAACACATAGCCTGACACATGTTTGAGATTACACACGATTCTGTAGAAAATGACTGTAAGCAATACTAATGCCTTAAGAATGGGGTTCAAGCACTAACACATGGACATCACATTTTTCACGTTTTCTTGGTAAAAAGTTGCAAGACAGTGCAGTCTTTTCTTACAGGGTGTTGATGTCTTAGGAAGCTGCTTTTTCAGTTTAGAAGAGGGCTGCTGCCCTTCATCTCAGTGTCATGTTATAATATGTCTTTCTGGTGGTCAGCAGTTGTCCTGAACTGACACTAGAACAACGCAGTGCATGTGGGGTGAGATATAAGCTCTAGAACTCTCAGAAAGGAACCTCTCTGTAACCACATTCCCTTTCTTCTTCTTCTGTCCTCTGCATCTCAAAGATGGAAGATGTCCACTGAGGTTTACTATTTGTTTGGCTTGGGGGAGTGACTGGGTGTTTCTTGCTTTGTTTTCTTTTGCCCTGTAATACCCAATATCATTTTTTTGAGAAATCCTTAAGAATGATAAAGATTACATTAATGAGGTGTGTGTGTTTTTGGTTTTTTTTTTGTTTTTTTTGTTTTTTTATGACACATTCATCCATGGATTTTCAAGAGAATTGTAGAACAAGGTATTTTATTCATCGCATACAGTCCACTACTTTTCTCAAGCCTCACTGGCACACTCTAGAGATCATATTAGACCTTTCTGAATTGAAAGGGTCATCTAATTAGCCCTACAGTTAGAGGAATATAATGTATGGGACACAAGCATGGATTCACAGTAGTTCAGCTGGCGACACACCCAGTTAAGGAGAGAAGCTGTCAGGGGTCTTTGGGAGTTACCAGCATCAGTACCTTCTACTCAGTTCTTCAGACTCTTTCAATGTTATGCCACTGGGCATTCTCAGAAGCAGTGCAGTTCAGTGCCTCTGCATCTGAGCATACATACGGAGGAGGAAGTGTAGTACGTTATTAGATACCAGCTATAGCGAATAGGAATGTCTACAGGATAGTAACCATAAATATTTGGTTAGCCACATATTTCCTTCCTATTTGCAATAGTATCCAGTAGCCCTTCCTGATGGGAAGAAGTAAGAGGACCTCCTACCATAGCACAGACCACTGAGACTGCTCAAGGATAAGAATGCTTTATCTCCCCATTGGGACATACCATCTGTATACATTCACAGGGTGTGACCCTTTGTGGTTTGAGGCTACACACACTCTCTTGCCCTCAGAGAGAATTGCTCATATAACTAACATAATGGTTATAATAACTATTATTGTTTTATTAGTCTTTAACTGGCCTGCTTTCTAATACATGGTCTTTTCCATGTTTTTAAACCTCAAACCAGTGTTGAAGGAAGAGACTACCAAGATTGATTTAATACACCATATGCTAAAGATTACCCTGGAATATCTATTTGGTTCATGAATTAATCTGGCTTAGAACTTTCATTTCTAATGACATGTTTGAATGACATGTTAGTATGTGGCTTGTCTAGTAGAAACATTATGTCCTTTTCCCCTTGAGGACTTGTTTTCACAGTAATTTTATTGTTAGAGTAGTCGCATAATGTTCACTTTATATTTTACAAGAATATTGAGCCTTGAAATAGTCGGGTGATGAACAAGCACAGAGCATAAGAGTAATATGAATTTTATCCAGCAATGTCAAGGCGTCTTAGTTACCAAGACCACCAACAGAGAACATTAAACTAGTTTGATTTAAATCTCCTCTATTTCCTGTGCACAATTAGGAAGCCCAACTTCCCCCTGAATTCCTAGGAATCCCTCTTGTTAAAAATTAGTGCATTGTAGTCTATATACTTGAGTTTTTATTTTGAAATGGTTGTAGTAGGAGTGCTGGAAATGCTCCCTCTTTTTGTCATCTTTATGGATAAGCACATGGTATTGTTATGCTGTTTCTAATGGTTTCATAACATGAGGGTCACTCGGACACTGTTTAGAAAACCCTACTTTGAAAGCAGTCATCTCTCAAGCAAACACAGTGTGAATTGTGCTTCTTATTCCTTTGATGCCTTCATGATGTTCCCAGCCTTAGATAATGGGTGTGCGTTAAAGGGGCAACACATTTTCCAAATTCTGATTTGTAGTAGTTGATCCCAAGGCACCGCTCATCCCACTGTTTTGTTGAGGGTGTGTTCTAATGGGAATGAACATTTCCCCAAAGCTGAGACTGAGACAGAGGGTGGTCTAGCATGTAGCCCAAGATACAAAACCCTTCTTTCTGCTTCATCTTCTAGCCAGCAACACCACCTGTGTTCAAGCCATCTGAACAATACTTGGGTGGCAGGCAGTGTCGAAGCCTCCTACAAAAATTGCAGTTCCTCTTAATAACTGCTCATCTTCCATTCACATTTGTATGTTACAGCTCTACTTAGGGACTGATTATATTTCTCTTGGGCAAGATAAATTGATTAGAGCCAAAAGTAGAAATCAATAAAGTCTTTACCAAGCAAATGCATTGGTTTTCATCTTTATTTCTGCTACATGGACATTTTGACCATCTCTAATATGAATTGATAAAAATCTTGGGCCTCAAAGAGTAGTCAAGTCCTCTTACATTAAAGCTGAAAATGCGGGTTTGATGTATCTTGCTAAACATGGCCCACTTCTCAATGCAAAAAAAGAAGATTCTGCCACTTGAGAATTAAAATATATTTACTTTCCAGTTATACCCTTTGTTATATCAGTCACACAAATAAAAAGAGAAATCTGTAAGAGAAAGACCCAAGTAGCTTAACATGTTCAGGGAATCTAGAAAATGTAGCTTCTCCAGTGTTTCCTGGACCAGAGCAAAAGGCATTCCAAGTGAAAGGGCAAACGGGCCCCAGTAAACTGCTTTGAAATTTAAGCCCTTGGGTTTGGCACTCCAGCTGTTGCAAGGTAAAATGGCTTCATGTTAAAAAATAGTCTGTTCTTATCAGTGATTTCCATGAGTAGCCTTTGTAGTTTTCTGAAATATTTTCATGACATGATGAGGTAAGCAGTTGATTCTATTTTTAATTCTATTTCCTGAGTCATAATATCTCCCTGCATAAAACAGGCACTGATAGAAAGTTTAGTTAGAAAGGCATAGTTCTAAAGAAATCAGAATGATCATAATATCTTGCCTCTTCTAACGTGTGATTTTTGGGGCATACATATTTAGTTTTTAAATGCTCCTAAAATATTTTTATTGGTGTTCAATACTTTGTTTAGTTTCATAAATATATGTATATTATTTATAATCTTCATTTTAAAGTTGTGTAAAGGAAGAATTAATCTTTTGAAAGCCACTATTGTAGCAGATATTATCTGTCATGAAGCAATATCTTGTTCTTTTTTGGCTTAGATTCTTTGTTAGATAATGTGATTTTTCCAATGTAGCTCCAAACTTTTTGTGAAAATCTGTATTCAAATGAAGCAAATATCACAAATTATTTTGGCTGGTAGATCTAATTTTTAGGTATATAATAATGATAAGAAATATTGCTCCTAGGGAAAAAAAAAAAAAAAGATAAGTACCCCCAAATACGATGGTAATGCATACTGAAAAAAGGTTAGTGTCACCTATATTTCCCATAATTATTATTTTCTGTTTATAATGGTTTTTAGGTTTGTTTATTCTTGTTGTTTGAGGCAGAGTTTTGCTCCTGTTGCCCAGGCTGGAGTGCAATGGCACGATCTCAATCTCCTGGGTTCAAGCGATTCTCCTGCCTTAGCCAGGCAGAGTGGTGCATGCCTGCAATCCCTGTTTTTAGTTTTTAAAGGACTCCTTAATACAGAAATTCTTCTGGTTTTCACACTAGATATAATTTGTTGTATTTTATCTTATATTAAATATGTTTAATACTATTGATATCTGAGTTGCTCTCACTGGTCCAATTGTGTGATGTCAGACCCTCATTTCTAAGAACTTGCTTATACAATACCTATCATGAGTGCTAATGACTCATGTATTTTAATATCATAACTTTGTGATATGGAAAAGAAGTTTGTTTTATCACAAGGTAATTGTGTTCTTTTTATCATGTGCCAGTTTTCTTTCAGCATTTTAGCAATTAACAAATAAATATGGGTATGGATTTTGTAAACCAAATAAAGCATATATCAAAACATTATCGGGTGGGTGCTTTGGCTCACTCCTGTAATCCAGCACTTTGGGAGGCCAAGGCGGGCGGATCACGAGGTCAGGAGTTCGAGACCAGCTTGACCAACATGGTGAAACCCTGTCTCTACTAAAAATACAAAAATTAGCCAGCGTGGTGGCATGCGCCTGTAATCGCAGCTACTCAGGAGGCTGAGGCAGGAGAATCGCTTGAACTCGGAAGGTGGAGGTTGCAGTGAGCCGAGATTGTGCCACTGCACTCCAGCCTGGGCAACAGAACAAGACTCCGTCTCAAAAAAAAAAAAAAAAAAAAAAAAAATTATCTAACTGAGACAGCCAAAATGTAAATATATGAAAATAACAAGCATAAATTAGCTATGCTAAGCAGAGGTCAGGAGAATTAAATTATGACCTGGAAAAGCCATAGAATTAGACCACTGAAGATCTGACCCCACTACTGTATTTTAAAAGTATGGAAGGTGATGACAGCACATTTGAGAAGGCTCTCTTAGTTCAAGAATGGAGCTGGCAAGTCTTTTAAATTATGTACCTGTTTAATGAAATTTTGCTTGGATTCATTGGGTGATTTAAGCTTTTCTTTTCTTATTTCACAAAATAGTGAAAAAAACTTTCCTCCAGAACGTTAATAGGTTTTATTTAGATACTATGTCTATTTGCTAATGTTGAGGCTTTAATAAATACAACATACCCCAAGTTCTAGGCATTCTGTTAATACTGAAGACTTCACAGGAATCCTGGAAATCCCATTTTATCACTTAGTTCTAAAGGCAAGATACCTTCAAACGATACATGTTAAAGAAAGCTGGCTTTGAATTATATACTGGAATATATGTCTTTTATTATTCACAATACTCTTTGTTCTTCTCTTCCGTAGATAAAAATACCAGTGTTTAAGGCAGTAGAGATAAGCTTCATGAATACGTAGACTTACTTTATCTCTGGAATTTGAGACCATATTGACTTTTAGTAGCATACCAGTTCACTTTTTTTAGTGTTTACACAGACTTTTAAATATGTGGAGAATATATGTTATTTAAAACATTAAACATATTTTCTCTCCTTGTTAGATCTGTTGTGGAAATTTTTGTTTGTTTGTTTGGTGTACTGTGGAACTATGAGACGAATACCCCGTTTTGCTATGTATCAAATTTCTGTTTATTTGAAAAACAGGTGGAAGTTATTTGTGAAGATAATTCCGTTTACTATAAAATAATATAAAGAAAAGCCAGACTCTGAGGACTCCAGAGACCTGAAAGTACTACATACTTGTCAGCAATGACCATCACATAGCTTGCTACATTCACCAGCTCATCAATAGCAAGGGGAAAGTCATAACAAGGAAACCACTTTATCTTTAAACCAAGGTGTCAGGTTTATATTTTATCTGTAAAAAAAGTAACATGAATATATTTGACATCTACCTCAGCAAACAAATTAATGCTAATTAAAGATTAATGTGTTGTAATTAGCATTAAAAATGCAATTAAATTGTGAGTAAATGGACCAGGAATAGAAAATTGTTAGACGTCTCACTGCCTGCTTTTCATATTCTGCCTTTTGTTTTTGCAGCAAATAGAGGAAGCGGGGCAGCCGGCAGCTCCCAGACTGGAGATGCTCTGGGGAAAGCACTTGCTTCGGTGAGGAAATATTGACTTTGGACTCCATATGTACCATTGTAAAGGGTGAACTTTAATCAGAAGTGGACATTTGGAATTTTAGAAAATGAATGGCAAATAGCTTTGATTTTTAGAAAATGCTAGCTTTCGTGCATAACAGTCACTGGAAAATTTGAGAAGGCTCTGAAGCTTCCAGTATCTAGATAGTCTCTTTCTCTCATCCTCGCAATGGTACTAAGGCTGACTCAATTATGGATTTGGGAATATTCTCCTGGCCTTTGGTTTATCGGTTTTTTATAGTGATGTCATATTTTACTCTAACGTAGTAATGGTGCACATTGACCAACTAAGACTGTCTTAGCAAGGAATAGTTCTAAAACACTTTGAAAGAGGCATTTGAAAAAAAAAAAAAAAGACAATGACTGAAGTCCATGAAGAATTGTCACATAATTGGCACCTGGGAGACTCAGATTCTCTGCTTTGCTCAGCTACTGCCAGAAAGCTAAAATTGAACATTTCTTGCATGTTCCCCGATGAGAAAATGGCATACCTTCATTGTCTCAGAGAGTATATCTGGTATTTTAGTCAAAAGCTAAACATGGTCATTTAGAAATGTAAGTGGAGGGCCGGGCGTGGTAGCTCACACCTGTAATCCCAGCACTTTGGGAGGCCAAGGTGGGAGGATCACTTGAGGTCAGGAGTTCAGGACTAGCCTGGCCAGCACGATGAAACCCCGTCACTACTAAAAACACAAAAATTAGCTGGGCATGGGTGGCACATGCCTGTAATCCCAGCTACTGTGGAGGCTGAGGCAGGAGAATTGCTTGAACCTGAGAGGTAGAGGTTGCAGTGAGCTGAGATCATGCCACTGCCCTCCAACCTGGGTGACAGAGCAAGACTCCATCTCATAAATAAATAAATGTAAGTGGAGATTTGTTTCTCTAAGATTTTGTCTCTTCAGTTGGCTTTTACCATTGGGAGCATTAAAAAAGTTCACACTATATTAGCATTGTGCCCTAAGTAAAAATTTTTGTTTCATCTGGGCCTTCTGATGCTATGGAATCAAATGCCTAAATCTGGCAAACAAGTGGCAAAATATCTTAGGAATGATCCTCATTTTGTAAATGAGGAAAGGAAAGTTCAAGAGTGTCTGCCTGGCTTGCCCATAGCCACACAGCCAGTGGGAACGAAGAGCTGAATTGAAGTCTGCTGACCCCAGCCTGGCTCTTTTCCCACCAACCCATACCACATCAGTAATTCTTGTTTTGAAAAATTAAAATAATTGTTAAGTTCTTCATTTGACAATATTGGTAATGTAGTTGATTGTTACATGTATTTTGTAACTGGTAAGTTTTAAATGAATTGCATTGACAACTTTGTAGTTTAGAAAAATGTGAATTATTTTAATGAATGAGGGTGTTTTTTTTTTTTCTCCCTATGTTTTAAGATCTATTCTCCAGATCACACTAACAACAGCTTTTCATCAAACCCTTCAACTCCTGTTGGCTCTCCTCCGTCTCTCTCAGGTAGTGTATTTCAAATCCCATTTCATCATACAACAGTTTATAAGAATGATTCCCCCCTTATACTTCCTGATTTTGTAGGTAGAAACTCACTTCCCCGCAAATCCCAAAGCTTGACATTCCTATAACAGACAAATACAAAGGGTGGGAGAGACAAATTGCCAGATAACAGTTTCGTCGTTTACATCCAAACCTTTTCTTAAAAATTAGATTATCTTTTTAAAATATACAGACATATGGAAAATGTATTTCTTACACTTTTCTTAGCTCCGCAGAAGACACTCAACAGCAGAATAATGTATTCCAATAAAACGTCTCAGATGAAAAAAACTCAGTTAATATAGTCATGAATATGAATATAGACTATAGAGTCATCAAATATAGACTATTTAAATGGATCATTTCCTGCAGAAATTTTAGGCTTTCCAAATTCCCTCTTTAAAGTTCATGCCATTGGGATGTGTGGAGGAAACTATAATTTTGTAAATAAATTGTGAAGTAATTGTGTGGACTAGAAGGGATGTTTGACTTCAAAGTATAACACATGCATATGACCTGTGGCTTCAGATTGAATAACTGTAATTTGTAGAATTATGTCAGTAAATGATTTCACTTATCAAGGTTCTGTTTAAGAGACTCATTGTCTTTCCAATATAAATGCTTCCAGAAAGCCTTCCCTGGTTCATGTCTCTGCTCTTTGGTAAGGGGACAGGTGGTTTATTAAAAAAACAAAACAAAACAACAACAACAACAAAATCTAAATCACATCTGTACCTGATGGAAACCTTAGCTTACTGTAATTTACAGTAGAGCCACTTGCCTATATATTTCCTGCATGCAGCTCTCATGGTCCAGTGTAAACTCGGCTCCTTGGTTGAGGACAGGAGGTTTCACATTGCCACAAAACTTTCAGAAATGATGGCCATGGCTTAGCTGGGATTTAATGTCAGCCTCTTCCAAGCCTCTGTGGTATGGGAAGATCACAGGATAGAGAGAGCAGTTGGATTCTGAAGTCTGTATGTCCAGAGAGACCACGTTGAAACTGAGATGCAATTGAGGCGATTTTAAGAGGGTAATGAAACATTCCCCCAGGTGGAAATAGGAAGTAGAGTTCAGTATTGTTGTCCTCCTCGGGTTCTGTACCAGATTCTTACACTCTGAAAAATGATTTCAAGTGTCAGTATCCCCCTTTCGAGACAACAAGAAATAGAGAAATCTGAGCAGGTGGAACTCCAGTTTCCACATTTCAAACAAAGTAGCTTTCATTTTTTTCATTTTCTAATTTAGGAAAAGAAAATGTTCTGTGGTATCATAATGTTTGAGAATAACTAATGTAGTCTGATACCCTGATTTTACAGATGAGAATACTGAGTCCCAGAAAGGGAGTTGAGTTGTTGAGTTTATACCAGTAGTAATAGCAGAGCTTGGACAAAAATCTGGTGCTCACAGTTCTGCCGTCCATTTCTAGATTAATGGTGGGAAAGAAAAATTGGGATGCACAGTCAGTCCAGAAAACATCACAAATTCTCTTGACCTGAGTAGCATGCTCTCAGTGAAAGGCACAGAAACAAGGCTAGAGATGCCACTTTTTGAGTCTTGGTAATGCATCATGGAAGACCACATGTTAGGAAGAAAGAACTTTTATGAAGATGCAAATATGGGGACAGATTGCTATTTTCACACCGACGGCTCTGTCCAAATTCTGTCAAGAAAAGTAATTGAACAAAATATTCTATTTTTATTTAGCATAAAAATATACATGCACACCCAGAAAAGACAGGAAGAGTGGATTTTAAAAGTGCTAACAGTGTCGGGGCATGAGATTTCAGTGAGATCATAGCTATTATTTTTTCCTTTTTTGAATTATGTATTTTCCAAGTTTTCTACAGTGAATGTGTATTATTTTAAATTTTAAAGTGTTTTTTATTTTGTAGGTTAGACATGTAATATGTATTCTAACAGCAGTCTTTTTTTAGCCTTCAAGTTTAGTGAATCATAAAAAAAATTACTTTCTTCAGAAGAAACTTATAGTTGTTGCTGTATATTGACTTTAAATTTCCGGCTTAGTGGATCACTGATAACTAATCTTATTCTCTTAAAAAGTTTTTCAAGATTTATCTTTTTCTAAAGATTGTTTTAAAAACAAGTAGCAAAGCTGTTTTCCATTGGTGCAAGAATTTTGGTTTAACATAAACTGGCCTTGCATGAAGGTCTAACAAAATCCCATTTTTGTACCCTTACAAGTACCTTGACTCCATAGTGATAGTTTTTCTTCCACAGGAACCCTTCTAACCAAAATTCAGAATCAATTGAATATTCTCGTTTAGGAGACAGCCAGCCTGGGGGAATTGTGAGTCTATGTAAAGTCTACATATTTTACATTTAAAATGTTTTTCTTATCCCAAAATTCTAATATGGGAAGTTTACATGCATTTACCTTATTGTTTAAATGAAAATCATCATTGCCGTCTCCAACAGGACTGTTTGAAATATTGGCAAGCATCTTTTTACGTGTGTCTAGATCTGATTGAAATTCCCATTTTAATATCAGCAGGCACAGCTGTTTGGTCTAGAAATGGAGGACAGGCCTCATCGTCTCCTAATTATGAAGGACCCTTACACTCTTTGGTATGTCTCATTTGCCAATCTCTGTTCCACCCATTTCCAGGTCATGTTCTTTCTTGTTCAGTCTCCTTCACTCTCCAAGATTCTGATTTTCCCTATTAGTAACTTTAAGTCAGTGTTAAGCGCACAAGTTTGCTGGAGCCAGAGTCATTAGGCTATGCTTGTTCCTATTTGGAAATGGGAACCCAAATACTACTGTAATGGAAGCCCCAGGGCTCTAAATATCTAAGTACCAGATAAAATCCTGGAAGGGCAATGGTCTCCTCCCCATCTCTAAGAAAGATCCCTGTCAATGATTAAATCACTTTCCTGCTATCAGAGTGCTGGAACTCCAGCTATGTCCTATACCTGGAACATTTGATTTCGTCTACCTCGGCTTTACTTTCCAGAATAACAAGTTTACAGGAGATTTCCTTCTCGTAGAAACCCACTGGTATCCTTCGTGGTAGAGAAATGCCTACTCTTCCAGGAGGGAATTGCTGAAAATTTCCATGGATGAAATTAATTATTATAAATACTCACATGATGATTCAGTGTCTGACACTTCAGTCTTTCTCTCCTCATGATGGTGGGGGCCAGAAATATGCATGAAACAACGCTGGTTGTGCAGCATTTAGGCGGTACATGAATCTAGTGGGAAGGAATAGCAGTGAGGGAGAGGAGCCTTTTAGTTCCTCGGGGTTGAGATTTTCTTTTCTCCCTCATATCCTGAGATGACACATGGAAGAAGACATAGATTTATCTGTCTGCCTTAGTGTTGTCTTATATACTTCCCTTTCAGCTTAATCTTGAGGAAAATCTGAAAAGCAAAGCAAAGGTGGATTTCCCTCCTTTGTTGTGTTCTTCCTTGCTATAGTGTATGAATCATTCAGCTATGCATTTTACCCAATAAAGGAAACCGGACAGTGAAACATATATGCATTACCCAGTCCAATTAGTCTGTGGACCACATCCAAATAATTAGTTGTTTTAGTGTTTTCCTTAATCAGTTATTCTCTGGGTCCTATTCATCAAAACCAGGCTTCATCCAACTATAGAACTGTAAAGATGAGGTGTATAGTTATGGACCACAGCTTCCATTCTGTTTGAATTCTGAACACTGAAGAAGAGATTCACAAGCAGAAACTGCTCTCTCTACCAGGAAGCTGTGAGCCAGAAACTGTGATAGTCACATGTATGATTTCTTTTCCTGCATATATTTACACTCAGAAGTAAGTATGTATTATCATTCCCATATTTATAAATTAAAAAGCATACACTCTTAAGAGGTTTAGTAACTTTTCCAAGGCCAAGTAAGTAGCAAAGCTAGCAGTCTAGGGAAGGTAGTTTAACCCCCAAACCCACCAAATCAAAATGTTCTGTACCATAGACTACTATATTAGATACACATTCTTCCTGTCAGTATAGAATAATTAGAAATGGTTTTTCTCATGCAGTAGAGCTGGTACACGTGTTTGCACAGCCCATTCAAATCAAAGTCGATTGTAGCATAATCTAGTACAAAGAGTCACTAGATTTAAAATAAAAAGACCTAGATTCAAACTCAGACTTTACCATTTCCTAGCAGTGTGACACTATGTAATTAATTCACTTCATGTCTTTGAGCCTCATTTTCATGTCTGTATGGAAGGGATCATAATGTCTTCCCTGCCTGCCCGTACACACGTGAAACAAGGATCAATGAGATGGCATATTTTAAATAGTGTACACTGGACAGTGGTATTTGATACCATTATTGATCACAGTTTTTAAAATGAATACATATTTTTAAAATGAATACACACTTTTTCTTCACTAAAAACTATAGGTATTGTCTAGTCATGAAAAACTAGTATCGTAATGGCAAGGATGAACAAAGGTTGGTTGGTTTTTAATGGTTTAAAGTCGTGAATTCTATACTGTGGTTAGGGCTTTGAACTCAGTTAGATGCCCCCAGTGAACAATTGATTCTAGTATTTGTGATTCTTCAGTCTTAAAATCTTATACTACTTTAGTTGACAGAATTTATATAATTTTTTTCTGTAACCATTTTGAGGCCCTTACACACATACCACCACACACCCGCTGGTTTTGATGACAGACAGAAAGCCAGAAACACCCTGTAAAAACTCAACAAGGAATTATCATCCGTTTGCTTTTCCCTGTCTCTGATTTGATACTTAGCACTGTGTCTTATACCATAGGGAAGACCAAAGAAATATACCTTCAGGAAAATAATTTAATTAAGAAACTATAAATAGGTCGTCTTTCCAGTGCTAATTGTTTAAAACTCTTTAACTTAATACCTGCTAGAAAGTTCCTTAAATTCAGTGAACATTTTTCTCTTATAAATCTAAATTGTCTTTCAAAAGGCAGTACCGTATATAGCACATGTACGTTATAATGCCCTGGAATAATTATTGAATTTAGTTTGTTCATGAAAAAATAACTCTATAATTTTAACATTAACATGTTCTACCAGTTTTCTGGAAACAACACTATTTGTATTAACATTGTTTTAAGGAAAAACCCGCAGTGTGTTTTTTGCCAACTAAAGTTTTACTTATGTAATTTAGGCACCCCTTTTGAACTAAATCAAATTTTACATTATTTGTTGACCAACAGCAAAGCCGAATTGAAGATCGTTTAGAAAGACTGGATGATGCTATTCATGTTCTCCGGAACCATGCAGTGGGCCCATCCACAGCTATGCCTGGTGGTCATGGGGACATGCATGGAATCATTGGACCTTCTCATAATGGAGCCATGGGTGGTCTGGGCTCAGGGTATGGAACCGGCCTTCTTTCAGCCAACAGACATTCACTCATGGTAAGTGATGAAATTTATAGACTCTATAGTTATCATATAGAGTTAGAATGTCAGGTATCGATACTATTGTTGCTGTTTTTTTAAAAGAATCAGCTTTATTGAGTTATAATTCACTTAACATACAATGAGCCCATTTCAGGTGTACATTTCAAGTGTTTTAGTGTATTCACAAGGTTGTGCAACCATCACCGTAGTCTAGGTTTTGAATATTTTTGCCCCCTGCAAAAAGAAAAGAACCCCTGGTGCCCATTAAGCAGTCATTCCCCATCCCTCCACTTCCAGCCCTTGGCAACCACTCATCTACTTTGTCTATAGATTTACCTATTCTGGATATTTTGAATATATGGAGTCATACAACATGCAGTGGTCTTTTTTGACTTGGCTTCTTTTACTTAGTATGACTGTTGCAGTTTTTCCATAGTTTGCCACGTATTAGAGCTTCATTCATTTTTATTGTCAAGTAGTATTTCACTGTATGGACATACCACATTACACATTTGGGTTGTTCCAATTCCTTGGCTATGATGAATAATGCTTCTGTAAATATTCATGTTTAAGTTTTTGTGCAGACACATGTTTCCCTTTTAGAGTGAATTACTGGGTGATTGTTGGTGTTTGAAATTATTCATTTTGATGACCCTGGCCAAAATGTACAATTTGAGTTCATATTATAATATGACATTGCTAGTAATTCAAATATTAGTGTTTTTTTTTTTTTAATTAAAGAAGCCAAAATAGTATCTGTCAATTCTGAGTCTGGGAGATAGAAATATATGGTGTATTTGTTTGTATAAATACATTGTGTGTGACTGTGTAATTTAATAGAGCAGCTTTATCACTACCTATTTAGAGTAAGTCTTTATTTGAATTATATTTAAGCAGATTTGTCCATATTACAATTGTGATTTTTTTTTTCCTCATTACTTTTGAAAGGATTTTGGAGATAATTCTTTTTGGGGATGATTATGAAGATTCAGAGACTCTTCTTAATAGAATATTAAGTGATGACAATTAATAAGGTGACCAGAGTGGTGGAGAATGTAACTTGACCAGGGATTCTCTGTAGTTCTGCTCCTCACAAGCTCTACCTGGTCTCTAAGCACCTTAGTATCCTGTTTTGTCCGTTACAGGCTCGCTAAAAGTTGCTTGGATGAAGGTATATTTTCCATTATCACTGTAGCATTTCTCGTTTAAGCATGGTCCCAAAAGGAAATGCAAAATACATACAAATTATTATGAGGGTCTTTTTTTTTTTTTTTTTTTAAGTTCTTACTCAGTAGTATTCTCCTGTCCATCTTTCAGTTTCTCTTAATAAAAGGCTAAGATTAAGAGTACCATTCTGAACAGTGTAGTACTGAAATCTGCAACCAATTTGAAACCAAAAATACTGGTTTATAAATAGAAGCAATGAACTCACATCTAAAATGTGGAAAGATATTTTTGAATGCCAAAGAGAAATCTTTGTTTCTTTTCCTTGACCTCTGCCCTAAAAATTCATCATTGAGTAAAAATTGTTTATATGTTCATGGCAGTTGCTTAGAGTTTACAGAAGAAAAGTCTAGATTTTAATTTAGCTTGGCCTCAGGTAATGTGTTAAATACACTTGGGATGCATATAATATGAGATTTTCATTTGTACAGCTTTTTTTTTTTAACTACAATGTTTAAACAATACTGCTTTTAATTAAGAAATCTGGCTTTATTAAAAGCCAGATCTGTGACACATAACCATTTCTGTATATCTGCTCTCAATCAAGAGAAAAATAGTTTAATTTCTGTAGCTGTGTTCATTTTGCATATGTTAAACGGATGTAACATGCACCCAGGGCATTGCTTCAGAGACACAGTCTTTTCCATAAATATGTAAAGTTTTTCTTAAATACCAGATGTAGGTTAAGTGGTTCTTTTAAATATTAAACTATACATAAATGCTTTTTGGGACTATTTGACCTTTGAATTGCCTCCTTTTTGAGTCAGATTCAGAGGTGGGATGGGAGGAAAAGAATAGAATTATTTTTGGAGATAGGAAGTTGGACTGACCTCAGTAGAAGGGAAAGTGAGATGGTGGAATAGAACGGTAGAAAAAAGGAAATAATTAGCCAGTATTACATAGAAACCTCTTTAATTTGATCTTGACGTACACACACACACACACACACACACACACACAAGCAATAAAGCCACCAGTTTTGCTGATAAGGAAGAGTTCCTGTTTTCTCCTCTGAAGACATTTAATATTCAATCAAGGACAGCCACAGAGCCAACCAGATCATAGCGTAACTCCAAAGACATGGCATGTCATCATCCTGCTGCCCTTTGAACCAAATGGGGTTTTACAGTCTCTGTCCTTTCTTCTTGAACACCATTCAGTGTGTCCCCAGAATCTGAGCTCCTCAGCCTGAAACACTAATGTGTGTGAAAAGGATTGGTTTGGCCTATCTTTCCGGTGCAAACTGGTATGCATTTTAAAACAAAAACATAAGAACAAAGGAAATAGTTTTTGAATTTAATCAGTCTGAAGTTAGCCTTTGACCATTTGATACATTCCACAATAAAAAGGAAGTTTAAGGGGAAGGAAAAAAAAAACTCACCCCCTTACCCCCAACAACAAAAAAATTCAAGGAGGATACTGGTAATGTTTTCCACATTTGAATTTTAATACATGAAACAGGCTATAAAACTTTGGCCAGCTGCAGTAAATAAAGTAGCCGTGGGAGGTATGCACCGGAAACTTCAGCAGAGAGCACTGGTGAGAGTCTCATTCCCAACTACACACCTTCGTTTGTTGTTCTGGGCAGAAGCGAGTTGCAGTAACTTGATACTCATCCCAGTCCCGGTTTTGTTTTGAGCACATCACCTTTCTAACTCTCCTCAGTAATTCCTTCTGATTAAAGAATAGACAGCTTTGAAACCTCTGTACGCTTCTCGTTTCCTCTCTCCCCGCCTTCCAAAAATCAAAACAAAATGGCTTGATAACTTGGAAGGTGATATAAGCATTTCTTTCTGCAGCCGCTGGAAATCGTGGTGGGGAAGACTGTGGTTCTGCCTCGGCTGTTATGTTATCTCATTTAATTGCTAACATATTGTCCTTAGCTTTTGATTCATAACATGTTTTCCTTGGAGTTCTGAAGTAGGTCTTCGGTGATTTACCAAGTATTAGTATAATGAAAGGGATTTTTTTTTCACAGCGGCATGGCTCATAACACGAGAGTGAATGTTTGTATACTTGCAAGCTTTCTGGATAATATTATTGAGCTATGCTTCTTTCCTGCTCAAAAACCTTCGCTGCCTTTCCATTATCTACAAGATAAAGACCAATTCCTTAGCTCAGTGTTTGAAGCCCATTACCATTTACCGAAAGCCTGATGTTGAGCTCTTCCAATCTGCAACAAGTCTTCCAGCAAGACCAGGCTGGGCATATTACCAGAATTCACCCCGTATGTTCTCCTTCGGTACTTTTGTATCTCTCTGTCTTGTCCAGCCCTATCTGCTTATCTCTGTACACCTAATACCCACCCATTTTCAAAGCACTGACTCAAATCATTCTTCTTCCAGGAAGCCTTCCCTTGCTCCCCGACCCATGCTAGCCATTTTTTTCTCTATTCTTACAGCCCTATGAATCATACCATTTCTAGATATTTATCTTACCCAGCTCCGCATAGCTGTGCATCTTTTATAGATATGACTCTGCCTTACCAACTGTTGTAAATTCCTCGAGTCCCACATATTATATTTTGTCTCTCTCCCCCCGACCCCCGTAAATAGATCATCCGTAGAAACTGGAGAAAAGAAACTAGGAAACTAACATTTTCTGAGTGTGAGTTGGCAGCCCCTCTGCTAGGCGCTCTGCATGCGTTGTCTTAGGCAGTCTTCGCAACAGCCCAGTCAGGGTGATAATAGTGGCCATTTCAGGTGTCGGTAAAGTGAGCCTTAGAAGTTTGAGCAGTTAGTCTCAAGTCATGCAGCTGGAGTTAAACTCAAGCACATCAACTCCAAATTCAATGCTCTTTTTTACTACTAAGCATACTCTCCAGAGATTATCTATAAGAACACCTTTTCAGAACTTATTTTAAATGCTAGGAGCTTGTGATTTTCAAACCTTGATAAGTGTTGGTTGGCAAAAGAAGTTTCCAGGTATTCCATGGCTGGGTTCCCGGAGCAGCTCTCTTCCCAAATGTATAGACAGAGAACTTTCCCTCCAATGTGGTGGCATGCTTGGATTAAAACTCACATTGTCTCTCCACCTATTCTTAAACCAACATGTTTGTGCTGAGTGCCTCAGAGGTGTGAACTCTCCCTACCAGGGTCCTTGAGGTAGCAAATTTTAAGTTATCAAATTATTTTTCTTATTATAACTACCCACTTTTCTTCCAAAATTAAAGCAGAAATCTCTGAATGTGGGAGAATAAGGAAATAGCCAGGTCTTCAATACCCTAGTTAGAAACTCTTACCAAGTATGATTCCCTCTCTGCCTCAGAGACCTCCATGATTAATCCTGATATTAAATGATTAGATTTCTTATAAATTATGGAAAGGGCAATTTTCCAGATATAATTCTCTCTGTTATTCATTCAGTATTCAGATCCACAGATGAGACCTGAAAAGAAGCCTTTCAAATGACCTAACTGCTTTTTTAACTGAATAAGAACAAAACCCACATCAAACTTGTCTTTATGTGACTGTATGTGTTCCTGTTTATTTGTTGATAGAGTCAGCAATGATGGGATCATTGAGCTAAAAATCCCCTCTATTATTCATATATCGCATTAGTGTAGCTCTCAGGTCCTTTTTGTTTAAAGTCTGTTTATTCATTCCAATAACATTTATCCGTGGTTACCAAGTGTAGGCTCTGTGCTCTCAAGGAATTCACAGACTAGTAGGAAAAGATGTGTGTTTAAGCAGAGTGCTCCCTGCCAGTCTGCTATGCCCTCTAAAAAAGCCCAGGGGCCCGACTCCTATCCAGTAGTGAAAGATGACATGGTGGTTTGGTAGAAGAGTGGT